AAAATTCAATTAAATTTTCAAAAAATTATTTTTTAAAGATTTTTGATAAAGCTAAAATATTTTATAATTTTATTTATATTGTAATAATAAAAATTGATATAAAAAATCTTTAGTTTTTTATATTTAATCATTTCTAAAGATTTTTAAGAAAACTTTAAAATTTTTATAATGATATTTATAACCATAAAATTGGACACCAGGTTATAAAAGCTGGGTTTAATTTTAAAAAATTCGATTCTAAATAAATAAGTTTTTTTAAATTTGATTTCTTAAAAAAATATTAATATTTTTATCAGAGTACTGAATTAACAATATCAATTAGTTTATTCATACTTATATTTTGATGAGTTAAATAATTTTTAAAAAATAACAAATCAAAATGATAAATTAAATTATTAATTGATTGACATTAAAATCAACTATTTATTAATTAAAAAAATATTGATTAAATCAATATTAATTATTTTATTAAAATCATAAATCATAAATTTATATATTATAGTTGTTACTGTCAACTAGCTGGTTAGTTAACCTATTAAAATTATTTACCAAATTTGAAATTTATATCTGTTTTAAAATAAAATACAAACTAGTATCAGATTTAATATCTGATTCACTACAATAGTTACATATATTTGAACAAAAAATCACAATTTAATGTTAGTTAAATGGTAATTAGATAATCTTTTCTAAAACATTTAAGAAAATTAATTAAATGTTTAATAAAAAAAGAGGTTTTTATTTAAGAAAGAAACGTATACATTAAAACAAATCAACTCATTACTTTTTAAATTTTTTATAAAAAATAATTATAGATATAATTATACTTAAAACACAAATCATTAACAAGTATAAATAAAAAAATTTTATTATAAAAGAATTTATTATAAACTATCAAATACTTCTTTAATTTCTTCATAATCATATACTTTAAATTCATTATTTTTTTCAGTGTAAACTCCAACACTTACATCAGCAGGTGTTAATTCAGAACCCACATTTTCTTTGAGAGCACTCAAACAAGTAGATATATTATCCTCTAAACATCCTTTTCTTCTTTCTATAAATTCTTTATTATTTTGATATTCAACTCCACAAGTGATAATCTCTTCTCTTTGATATGAACCAGATAGATCAATACTATAACAAGAAGGACCATTCTGGGTTGTAT